GGGGGAGCGGGGAGGGAGGGGAAAAAATGAGGACCTGATGCCGGGGTCTTAAGTGGAGGGTAAATAGATTGAGAATGGTGAGGGCAATGAATGTACAAATGTGCTTTACACAATTGATGTATGTATGGATTATGATAAGAGTTGGATGAGCCCCTAATAAAAAGTTAAAGACTATATCCAGCTGTACGCCAGATGAGACAAGGAGTCCTGCGCGCTGCCCCCTGTCCCCTCCTGGCCCTCTCTGGACCCCCGGGAGCTGGGCCAACCCGGGACACACTTGTCTGGAGAACGCAACATAAAATCAGCAAGTCGTTTTTTCAGCATCATAACTGGTGTTGGAATTTAAATTTGTTTCCCTATGTTCTGTTTTTCTTTCCAAAGAAATAAAATTGATATTGGCATGTTGAAGTTGGAATGATATAAAATCAGCAAAAAAAGAAAAGAAAATGGCCACCTCTCTCATCCCGTCCCGGGCTTGCTGGTATGCATTTTGAAACGCTGTCCGTTGACGCGTCAGAGGAAGGGCTTTCAATAACTTGGAAGACTCTCTCTGCTTCATATCCTGGAATAATCTTTAAAAAAAAAAAAAGTCAAACTTGACAGAAAAGATACAATTTCTGCTTGTCAAACACCAATTAGAAAGAAACCATAGATTCCACTGTCAATCTGTTTTAATATTTAATTATCGTGAGAGTGGGCAGGCAATATATATTGTCTTGATGTACCATCTACCTTTTTAAATGTGATAGGATGTTGTGCAAAAGGCACCGATCAAATATACTCAACAACAGCTCTTCAATCAATTTTATTCTTTATGCTTTTTAGTAATAAAAAGAGATGTCATTTTTGGCATCCCTCTCATTTTCCTAATGTCTCTAATCTCTTCGAAAATATCCAACATCAGATGGCTAACAAGTTAACAAAAACTTGATGAATGCTACTTTCGTGTCAATCTTAAACTTAGTGAACCAGATGGGACTTTTTTTCCAATGCCATTATATTGCTTTATTACATTCCAATTTTATTTCTCTGTAATCTCCGAACTTGGAAATGTAAGAATTTGGACTCCTGGACATATCCAATAGAAATCCTTATAATGCACCAGGTTCTCACTCACTCATTTCAACCCTGAGGAGTTAGGTACAAATTCTCATTATTTAAAACATTACTGCCAGGCTATTTGAACATTGGACATCTGGATTCTAATTCTTACAATGGTGTGACTAACTGGGGAAATTTCTTTATAATCATCTTTTATTATTGGTTACATTTGAACAATAAAGTAAAATTTATAAGGATAAGGAAGTGAAAGTGGACACATTGAAATTTAGGTTGTTTTTTTTCTAATTTAGTTTTAACTCAATTTGATAACCTAATAAATGTGCAATACACGAGAATAGTTGTCTTTTCAACTAAAATGTCTTTTCAAAATAAAACAGATCTCCATAATTGTATTATTCCAGTGCTTACCTGTATGTTGTATATAATTATAATTTGCACAATGCAAAATCATTGCTATTTGGTATTTTATACACTCACAGGAAAATCACAGTAACAGTCAAACACATCCCCCGACTATAAGAGGTAGTATACGCAGCTCACAAGTCCATCATTTACTAGTTGCGTGACACTAAGCAAGCAATTTTACCTAAACCACTGAGTTTTCTTTTGTTGACAAATTAGAGAAAATAATAGTGCTAAGTGAAAAATTACTAGAATTGAGAGAAAGTATTAAAGCCAAGCTCATCATATACATTCAGTTACAAGTTAGGTATTTGTAATCTAATTAGTAGCTTGGACTGTGTTAGACACAGCATTGCTATCCACAGAATTCAAGACTTCTACCCATTCATTACCTGTTGATTGACCCTGCAGCCAACATTCGTACTTGGTGATGATTATCAGCAAGAAATTGTGGGAATACTTCATTTACAGGGAAGTCTTTTCCCATTACATTGAGAATCGCCCATTTTGAATAAGGATCAGCCTATGGAGAAAAAACAACTCCAGTTATGTATGACACATAAGTATCATCCACCAATACACAGGAAGAAAGCATGCTTTACGGGACTTGAGAGTTTACAAATACTTGAAGGATCTGGAGTAACTTACCTCAAGCAGAGCCTTAAGGCATCTTACTAGTGCCATTCTCACAGATGCTGTGCATTTTCCCTCCTTGGCTAAGTGCCTGAAATAAAGTCAGTGTTTCAATGTTCGGTTAGAAGCATATTCAGGAAAATCAGTGAATATTAAGATTACTCTAAATCACATCAAACATTTTTTGATACACTGAAAGGTGCCTTTAGTGCCATGAAGTTGGTTCTAACTGGTAGCAAGTCAATGTCAACAGCGCAACAGTCCCGTGTCAACCTCACAATTGTCATGTTTGAGTCCCTTGTTGCAGACTGTGTCAATTCATCTCTTGAAAGTCCTCCTCTTCTTTTCTGACCCTCCACCGAGTATGACGCTCGTCGACAGGGACTGCCCTCTCCTGGTGACCATGTCCAAGTGCATGAGATGAAGCCTCGACATCTCACTGCTTAGCAGAATTCTGGTTGTACTTCTTCCGGGACAGTCTTGTTCTAATGGCAGTCCATGGTACTTTTATTATTCTGTGCCAACACCCTAACCCAAATGCATCAACTCTTTAGTTGTTAGGTGCTGCTGAGTCAGTTTCAACTTAGAGCGACCCTCTATGTAAAACAGAATGCAAACCTGCCTGGTCTTGTGCCATCTTCCCAAGTACTCCTATGTTTGAGACGCCGATGCAGCCAGTGCATCAATCCATCTGTGGAAGGGCTCTTCTTTGTTCACTGTCCAGCTCTCACAGGCATAGCTTAGTTCTCCAAGAGATATCTTGATTCTTTAACCTTCAAAGGAGTCTTGTGCAGGTTTTCCCAATGCAATACATCATGTGACATCTTGACTTCTACTTCTATGAGCGTTGACAGTGGACTTAAAATGAAATCCCCGACACCTTCAGTCCACATTATAATGTAATTCTCCTTACACAATATATATACCAATATACTTACCTTCTCAAAGATTGCAGCTGAAAGGAAATTAATCTGAAAAGTGTCATTTTCTAATGTACTTTATTTGTTGGGTGCAACAACGCCTTACTTGGGAGCTACCAGACTTCAGTGACTCATGTCACAGTAACAAACTTTTAAAAGAAACTAAACAAGGTTTTTGTTTCTATTTTAAAGATTTCCAAGTTACACTCTACAGAGATTTAGCAGTCCTTATCAATCAAATGTATAATCCCCACTACTTTAGTGGGCTAAGCATTGGATAGCTAACTAAAAAGGTTGTCGGTTCCAATCCAAGTCAATGACTGGGGGGTTAGGTTTTCAGGACCCAAGTGGTATGATGGCTCCAGTTTAGATATCTGAGCTCCCCTCTGAGCATTACGGTGCTATTGCAGACTGTAACAAGTGCACGCAATACCAGATAATGACAGCGACCACTTGGTCAATTTGGAAACATGAACAATTGAATTGGTGCGCTTTTTTCATTCATATGCATATAGAAATATTAAGGGAGTCAAGATTTATTTTATGCATATGGAACTATTAATGGATTCAAAATTTACAAGGAAATATATGGAATATATTTTAGAAACCCAAACCTTAAGATATTTGAAAACCAATGTAGTTCTTCAAGCATTAAGAACACACAAATCCTTTTCTTCAATTCTTAAAAGAAGTATACAATCACACTGAAAGATCAGAAAACAGCACTCATCTAGAAATGAAAAGCTTGCCGTTACATCTATAAGCAGTATAAGAAAGATAAGAAAGCAGTGAAACAGTTTGGACCTACCAAAATGCTCCCATCACTGTTAGGAACTGCCCTTGAGCATCCCTGGTGTGCTCATTGTCCACATGGCCTTGTCCCAGGTTTGTTACTATATGAAGGATGTGGTTTAAAATGGTTTTGCAAACTTCTTGGTCACGGCGATACAAAGAACACACATTACTGTGGAGGAAGAAGTTTAACTTGGTAAAGGTAACAAACACAGCAGTTACTCTATCAATGTACAGAGAATAAACGTGGGTTGAAATTTCTTACGATAGAGGTTTCAGAAGCTCAACAACATCTTCAATTGGCAAGGGAGTGTCTTCTCCTGGGAGCTCCTTTATAAGTACTAAATACTAAGATAATAGAGGGGAAAGTCATTAATGTTTTCATAGATCGTCTACTTAGATAAGTACACATAAGTAACTATTAATTCATATACACAAAGCTATACATTTTTTAAAAGGAAACTTTAAAATTTTGGAATATTCCCACCAAATCTAAATCTAATCACCTGAAAACAAAGGATAAATACAAAGTGAGAAAATCTGCAAAGCTACTGTCCCACATTACCCAAAAAAGACAAAGATAATGAAAGATACGTGAAAAGACTGGATCTGGGGAGGAAAAAATATGTTCCAGATTAAAAAGAATAGACAACTGAATATAATGTAATATAATACAATGTTGATGATTATATTAAGGCCATATAGAACTGCATTTTTAAAAAGAAAATATACACTAAAATATAAGGGCATGATATATATGACTTAATCTCAAATGGTTCAGAAAAATGATAATGTGCATACATGTACATACATGAATGTACAGAGAAAAATGAAAATGTAAATTTGTTAAAATGGTAACTACAGAATATTAAAAGGAGCATATGGGAATGTGTTGTAGTAGTCTTATAACTTGATGTCATTTTGAAATTACATTAAACAATTTTTAAGGAATATAAACTAGATCAACGGATTTAGACTTCAACTATATTATTTAAATATTCAGGATCTGTTTCTTGGCTCAATTAAAAATAACTTATAATAGGCCACTGCCTCAGAGCAGAAGGCCACCGGGGGCAAGGAGAGCTGATGAGGCCATGGTTACCCTAGGATTCTGTTATCATGTAAAAATCCAAAAGATGAAAGAACAAAAATCTATACATATACATTAACTGTAATCGGTTTATCGGTACTGAACACAAATAAAACCGTGAAGAACAGAAGGGAATCTAAATTTTTGACAATAAAAAATGGCTATGTATATATATAATTACATATATGTTGATTGGAATATTATAAAATCATTAAAGGGTTTTAATTACTATTTAGTATAATTATGATGATTAATATAAGCAGCTACATGGGAAAGTGCTTATAATTAATTCTGGGGGCCTGCTCCCCCGCGCTCTGTGCAAGGCAACACAGCCCCAGGAAACCTGTTACTAAAGTGCCCTCATATTCCATGAAAAATAAAGACAAAAAACTTATAATAATTTCACTCTTATCTAAAGGGATACTTAAAGTCCACGCAAGTTTTAATGTTTCAGCATCCATTTATTAGTTTCAAAATTCGCTAAAATAAAAAGTGTATTTTATAACTATTAATTTCTCAGGAAAGTTATTGCAATCAAAAAAGAAACTATGTGATTTCTATATATCAATCCATGACATTTAGACACCAATATCAGACAAGATTTTCTTCATTTGACTCACCATGTGTAGGTGAAGAGATTTTGTAAGATCTAGTGTGCTAGAATCTATTAACATTAACAGTTTCCTCCGAATATCAGCTGCTCTAAATGACACTGTGTTGGTCTGGGCAGTAGTTACACACATACACAAGAACTTGAGCATGTCTAAAAACAGTAGATCTTGCTTTGACAAATATTCTTCTGCTAAAGGGTTCATAGCACCTGAAAATAAAATGTACTTATTAAGATTTGAGGGTCACAACATCCACATATATTAAACAATAACTCAAATACTCTCCTTTACAAAAGAATAGACAGAAATTGGAAAGCAAGAATCTAGTGAAAATGAATAATACCGAAAGCTTCAAAATTCTTCATGAAAGGTTACCCTAAGATTTTGTTATCATGTAAAAATCCAAATGAAAGAAAAAAAAAACTATGCATATACTTTAACTGTAATTGGTTTATCGGTACTAAACACAAAATAAAACCATGAAGAACAGAAGGGAATCTAAATTTTTGACAATAAAAAATGGTCATATATATATATAGCATATATGTTGATTGAAATTATTACAAAACCATTAAAGGGTTTTAATTATTATTTAATATAACTATGATTATTAATATAAGCAGCTACATGGGCAAGTGCTTTTAATTATTTCTAAACAGAAAAGCTATAACATGGAATATGATGCTGACAGTTATTAGTTTTGAAGTAATCTATAAATAAAAGAAAAGCCTAAAAGTAATGGCATAAAATGAACTTTTTCTCTCCTTTTCTCCATTTTCCAAATTATCTGTTATATTTAATTTCATTAATAATTATTTTATATTTCCCCCATAAAGTACAAAAGAGAAAACTAATAAGATCAATTAAAAATCAGAGAAAGCACAAAATAAGAGTAATTTATAAATTATCAAGGGTTCATGGAGGAGGGGGAGCCGGGAGGGAGGGGAAAAATGAGGAGCTGATACCAAGGGCTAAGTAGAAAGAAAATGTTTTGAGAATGATGAGGGAAACAAATGTACAAAAGTGCTTGACAAAATAGATGGATGTATGGATTGTGATAAGTTGTATGAACCCCCAATAAAATGATTTTTAAAAAACCCAGAGAAATCTAAAATGTGTAGGGCAGGAACAATCCAAATAGATTTTTATAAGGGAGAATGAAATATAAAGTTTATTTATTAATGAATGCTTTCTAATACAAATCAATACAAAGAGGTAAATGATATCCCAAGCAGTAAATATAGATTTACCAGTATTACTTTGGCTCTCTCCAGATTCATTTGCATCACTAACAGGACAAGTAGAGTAGTCGCCAAACAGATTCAGAGGTGACTGATTCTCCACTTCCATTCCACTTTCATCAGGATCATCTTCCACTGTCTCTACTTCTCCAGAATCAAATGGCTTTTTGATAAAGGATGACTTCAAAGGAAAGAAACAAGTGTTCATGTAGATGTTTTTATCACAAACATATTTCTGAAATTTTTTTCTAAATCAAACAATTTCAGATTCATGTACAAGTATGAACACTGCTGTTTTGAGTAAATGGTCAGCAGGGAATACATAAACAGGAATAAGTCTGTAATAAAATAATATTAAAGTTTCAAAAGTTTTTTTTTTTAATATTAAGACATTGATTATACTCCAAATTGATGAGAATGTGGGAAGAAAGTATACATTGGTGTGACTATTTTGGGGGTAGATATCCATCAAAATGTAAAATGCAAATTACTTTTGAACAGCCATTTCCATTGCTAAAAATTTATCCTACATCCTTCCTAGGTATAAATTATAATTGTCAAAATAAAACTGCAAGAACTTTATAAAAGTCTAAGAATTTTCACTGAAGAGCTCTTGGTAACAAAATTTAGAAACTACTTCAAATGGTAAGCAAAAGTAGATGAGTTTGAAGAACCGATAAACAAAGCGCACACACATACATGGAGGCATGAAAAAGTTGGTGGAAAAATTTCATTCTTTCCATTCCATTTCTCCACAAACTTTTTGAAGCCCCCTGTATGTGCATATGTGTGTAAATGTACATATATATATATATCCCATATAATGGAATATCATACCGCTACTGAGTAAGTTACAATAGTATGAAGGAAGCAACATGAAAAAATGACCAAATCTTATTGTCTAGGAAGAAAATAAACGTTACATAATATTGTTTTTACTCAATAAAAATCTGAGTATCAACTATGTGTATCAACTGTTAGCAAAGGACATCAGATTTGGTAAAGCACAAAGCCAATGAAAATAAGGGAAACGCTCAGGGAGATGCAGTAGCAGTGAACTCGAATCTCCCAGTTATCATGAAGATGGTGCACAATTGCCACCATCTTCCTGCTGTACTTAGGTTGCCAAGAGTCAGATCAGACTCAAGGGACCAACACAAAACAATTAAGTGTGTCAGCCTCTATTCTACACAGAATTGTGTGTATAGCATTATCCCATTTGTATGGAAGATAAATACCACATTGGGATTATTTTATTCATTTGGTCAAGCTTTTATTCTCCTCCCAGTCCCCATTTTCACAGAGTAGAATTTTTAAAGTTCTGGCATAGTTTATAGGAAATAGCTAACCTGGATCCTAGCTGGTTGTCAATCTTCCGTTTTATTATTTATAGAAAAAAGATAGGCCAGAATTGTTAAATATTGACATAAAGAAGCAATCAAGTATATTTCCCGTCCAAAATGGAATTCCTTTGCTTAACCTCTATACTTTAAAAATCAGGCATCCTAATTAGAAAGATATGAGGCAGTTTTTTAAAAGTTCATGGAGAGGGAGGGAGCACTACACTTGATGATGATTACACAACTCATTTAAAAACTGATTTAACCATGGGGGGAGGGAGTGTTCCAAAATTTACTGTGGTAGTGATTGTACAACTCTTCTTGATATGACTGAGCTATTGAATTATGTGATACATGGATTAAGTGCCAATAAAACTGTTAAAAAATTGCAGTAAACTAAAATTTTTAAATACACACACGCACATACACATACACAGTTTGTGGAAAAATTCGATAATCCATTTTTCGAAGCCCTCTCGGATTTTCAAGCCCTCTCGGATTTCAATGGGATTATACAATAAAGAGTCAATGAAATATGGTGGTAAAACAGAAAACATACTTACTAAAATTTTACAAATATCTGCAATGTCATTCATGAACTTTGATGTTAACAATCTCAGAAAAAAGCCAGATGCAATCTTATTTGGACTGTGCTGTAGTCAAAACACACAAAAATAAATAAAACAAATATGAATTCTTGGAAGATAATATTTTCTCTTATTTTGAATGAAATAGGTTATAGGTCAAATCAGTATGGTTAAAGAGTTTGGAATACTAAGAAAATATATAATTTGCATCTAAAAAACTAACCTCTGTTCTTAAGAGTCATAATAATAACACATTTCACTCCTTGTGCTTAAATAGCATTCATTCAAGACACTAATTATTAATCCTACTATAATACATAATTAGGATATATAATAGGATTAATACATAATTAATTAGTAACTGAAGATTAGATTCTTTTACTATAAATCATTTTATTGGAGGCTCGTACAACTCTTATCACAATCCATACTTCCATCCATGCGTCAAGCACATTTGTACATTTGTTGCCAAAATCATACTCAAAACATTTTCTACTTGAGCCCGTGGTATCAGCTCATTTTTCCCCTCTCTTCCTCACTTTCCTTCCTTCCCTCCCCCTTGATAATTTATAAATGATTATTTTTCCATGTCTTACACTGTCCAATGTCTCCCTTCACCCACTTTTCCGTTGTCCGTCCCCCTGGGAGGAGGTTATATGTCAATCATTGTGATCGGTTCCCCTTTCTCCCCCACCTTCCCCTTACCCTCCTGGTATTTCTACTCTCATTATTGGTCCTGAGGGGTTTATGTGTCCTGGATTCCCTGTGTTTTCAGTTCCTATCTGTACTAGTGTACATGCTCCAGTCCAACCGGATTTGTAAGATAGAATTGGGATCATGAGAGTGGGAGGAGAGAGAAGCATTCAAGAACTAGAGGAAAGTTGTATGTTTCGTCGGTGTTATACTGCACCCTGACTGGCTTATCTCCTCTCTGCGACCTTTCTGTAAGATGTTCAGTTGCATACAGATGGGCTTTGGGTCCCCACTCCACACTGCCCCTTCATTCACAATGAAATGATTTTTTGTTCTTTGATTCCTGATACCTCATCCCTTCGACACCTCATGATCACACAGACTGGTGTGCTTCTTCCACATGGGCCTTGTTGCTTCTCAGCTAGATTTTACTCTTCTACTTCTCTTTCTCCACTTACACCAAAAAGTGGAAAATACTTTACCAAACCAAAAATATTATGCTGATAATATTGTTATATGGCCAGATGCTTAATATGTGCTTTCAAATTTATGGACAATAATCATCAACACTCTGACCTGACTCAGCTAACCCTTACCTGTTTCAAATTAAAATAGGGAAATCAAGCAGTGTAAGAACACCTGGTACAACAGTAATGAATATATTAGCTGGAGTTAACTTTGTCACCGGCGCATTTATTTAGTGGATCTGCACTTCACACGGCACACAGTCAACAAGTATTTATTAAGTGACTAAATGTAGAATGACAAAAAAAAAAGTCATCCCCATAGATGTAGGTGAAAGTAATCAAAATCTCAGAACCTATATTACACTGACTAAATTGGTTGCATGTGAGATTCAGGCTCACTACTGCTTAACTCCACTGGACATTACCTTTATATACCTTCAATTTAACTGTATATGAGCATATAAATTGATGAAGGAGACACCAACCAACCAGTAACCAAAGAATAATTTCAGCAAACAATAATTAAACCCCAGGATAGGCAACATTATCCAGTAAGAATGATACCTTACCTTGGTACAGTTGCATAAGCAGCTTATACACAGAAGCATCATGTTTCTTAACGAGTCAATTCTAGGGTCTTCATTTGTCTTATTTTTAAACAGAGTGATACTTTCCCCTGCACACTGCATTAGGGACTATTGAATAGAAGAAAAGATCCAAGTTCCAGTTAAAGTTTTGGTATAATGATTTGCTTTAAAGTTTCACTTAACTTTTTGTGTTTTTACACTTGGTTATATAAAATTAGAAATTATAAACAATCTAGAAAATGACAAATTTTATCCACAGATGTTATGTAAATCACAACTTCACAGAAAAGTACTCAGATACCAAAAACGTTTCGTGCTGACAGCCTATTTTATTAACATCTTTAAAAGGGGTAGTTTTGGATAGTACACTGAAATTTTTACAGTATCAATGAAAATCACTACTGTTCATAAAATTAAAATGTACAATGTATGATTTCAATTCCAGTATTCATAGTTGGGTTAACATAATTTTGAGTCACAAAAAAGGTCACATGCTATCATTTCTTCTCAGACCTCCATCTGAATAAGAAAGGGTTAACCTATATTAAAGATTCCCAAACAAATATACCAATCAGCCCAGGAATAAACTTCATTTAAATTATCTACAGTTTCATTCATGTAAATTACCTTACCTTGGCTTTTTGGAATAATTCTGACTTATGTGCTTCCTCTTCAGCTATTACACCCACGTAACAATAGCAGCCAAGGACACCCACCAAAACACTGGAACACCGGACAAGCGCGTCTGAATCTGCAGTCTTAGGGTAACCACGAATGAAAAATACATATATTTCAATAACATTTTCAGGTATTCTATAATGATCTTTTCAGAAAACTAAATTTATGGAAGGAAATTTAGGAGCACAGTTTTAAAGTTTAAGAAAAGACTTGAGAGTTCAGTAATCTGAACTCCAGTACTGTTAACTGGAGTTAACAGGAACAGTACTTCTGACTCTCTCTAAAATTCTAATATATGAGATCATTGCAGAGTCACGATAACCAGGCTTCTCAGGAAAAATGGCAGAAATATTTTCTATTGTCGAGTAAGACACCACCTCTTAAAGTAGCATAGGGTGCTGCATACGGAGAGACCCTGAA